AGCCATAACTGAGAACTCACAGCTTGAGACACAATGACTAGGCAGGGAGAGACACTGGGAATGAGGTAAATCTTTTGAAACCTGAAAGCCCTGGTCGGTAATACACCTCCTCCAACAAGACCACTCCTCTTGATTCTTCCCAAAGAGTTCTACCAACTGGGGACCAAGCATTTAAATGTATGAGTCTGTGGAGGCCAATTTCATTCAACCCCCCACAGCAAGCTTGCATGATGAGTTCACTTACCTGCTGAGCCCCTCACTGGACCCATGACCAACATTTAAACAACGCTGGGCTTTGGTTTTAGCACCCGAAGAGCCAAGTCCCCACTCTTAATTTGTTAGGCCTACTATGTGCCTCCATCCATCCAATCCTACAAAATGTTGTGCACCTGCTGTGTGTCAGGGACTAAGCTAGGCTCCATGGACACGGGGCGAGCTGATAAGTGTTGTTCCTGCCCACATGGGGCTCACATCAGCCTGGAGGAATCAAAATGTGACTTGAATCTTCATCGTTAACACTGTTGTCAACTCATCTGAGAGTCACCCAGGGGACAAAGCTCTGGGGTACGCCTGGGAGGGAGTTTCTAAATTGGGTGAACAGAGGTGGGAAGGTCTGTTCTTTTTCTTTCTTTCTGTTTTTTATTTCCAACTTGGCTTTTTACTGATTCTTTGTGGCTTTCACACCATGCATCTTGATACCACTCATCTCCCTGTCCCTTCCCATCTGGCCTCTGCCCTTGCAACTTCTTCCCACCCCAGATAAAACAAAATAAAATTTTAAGGAGAAGAAAAAAAAAAAACACAACCAAAAAAAGAAAAAAAAGAAAAAGAAAGAAAAGAAAAATCTTGTCCTGGAAACTGTACTGTGACACAGTGAGTCATATAGTGTACCCTTTACTTGACAAGGGTGTGGGAGAGCTGGCCTCACCCCTCACCCGCTATAGGTGATATGAATGAGGGGAGATGTACCCCCCTCCTCCCACCCCTCCCCCCCATTGAAGGTCGTGAGAAGTCCATACATCTTTACTTGCCAACGTTCACTGCGATGAGGCCTTGATCTGGCTCGAGGCCTCTGGTTTCCGCTACACCATCAATGCTGGGCCCTCACTGGGACTCCTCTTGTTGCCTGGTATCATGGAGATCCTGCAACTTTGGGTCTGCAGGACATGACCCTTCCTGTACTCCAGCAGCTCGTAGATGGGGTGGATGTTGGGATGGGCCAACTCATAGCCCTGGTTCTGGGCTTGGGTGGTTGCTGGGTTGGTCAGCACCCCCAGCTCTCCCCATCCTCACGACCAGGGTGAGCTCTCCAGGATTGCCCTGGCTAGTTCACCCTGTGCAGCAAGGAGCAAAGGACGAGGCTGGTTCTCCTGCTCTCACACCCTCAGGGGCAGCTCACCCACACCTACACCACCAGGGCCAGCTCTACTGTGTTGCCCAGGCCAGGGGCAGGGGCCACTCTCCTGAATGCTGCAGCCGGTGAGTTGGGGGGCCGGCTCTGCCACGTTCGTGTTCTCAAGGCCAGCTCACCCGCGCCCCTGTGAATAGGACCAGCCCCACTCTGCTGCCCAGGCGGTACAGGGCCTGTTCTCCCTAGTGTTGCAGTTGGTGAGGGACTCAGGGGAAGACCCATTCTTAACAGGGGGCAGCACCATTCGGTGGGCTGAAGTCCTGGACTGGAGAAAAAGGAGAGAGTGAACTGAGCATCAGCGCTCATTGCTCTCTGCTTCCTGCCCACAGATGCATCATAGCCAGATGCCCTCCATCCCTCCCACCACACTTTCCCCGCCATGACAGGCTGGACCCTCCCACTGTTAAGCCAAAGCAAACTTTCTTTAAGTGGCTCTTGTCAGATTTTTGATAATGTAGTGAGGACAGTAATATAAATCTGGATCCTTGGGTGCTGGCCACCACCTCGTTCCTCTGGACTAGGCTTTGGCTCGCATTTTCAGGAACTATTAGCAGGCCTGAAGAGAGGCTTAGAACACCAGCTTTAAGAGAAACCAGAGCGTGCAATAGCTGTCCTGGTCATAGCTATCCTTTTCCACCAGGGCAAGCGAATTGTGGAGATGAGGCGGGAGAAGCTGATGGGTTCCAGAACAAAGTCAGGAAATGATTACAGCCTCCTTCTAAGAAAAGTAGCGATCTTCCAGGCCTGCTTTAGATAGATACTCAAGCCAGGACTTAAGCAATGCTTAGGGAAGCCACAGGACATCTGACGGTCACGTCTAGGGATGGACAGAGTGATCACAGGAGAAAACGGAGAGCAGTGTGCTCATCAGTTATAAAGGTAAAGATACTTACTGCTGCTGGGACTTTATTTCATTCCTGAGCCAGTTCTTTTCTACTCTATAGAAAACCGATTAAGATGCAATTGATTTCTGTTGTAGTGGGAATCATTTACATGAGACACAGGAAAGGACTTCCTGCCGGTGGGAATACTGAGATGTCAACGGAGTAGAAGGCAGGAGCATAAAATCGGCATGGTAGATGAAGTGCATGTTACTTTCATTTTCTTCGAGGCCAGTGACCCCGAGGCCAAGACACACTGCCTGGTTTCTGTGAGTCTCATCTTGCTGTAAATAAAGCCGGAAGTTCACTCCCACTTGAAGATTCCCAGTGCTAGGATGTCTCTATTTCCAGATCATTCTCCACTTTCATCCTGCTCGCTGGCCGTGGGGCTGACTTGAGGACTGTACAAGGGTTCCTGCCCCAGAGCCTGAAGCATTCCTATGTTCCCAGGACCTGAAGGGACTGGTGGGGTCGCTAGCCAGCCCAAGATGGACATGCAGAGCCCGATGCCGATGCCATTTGCTGTGACTACAGTCTCCCCTGGGTTCAGGTAAACGCTCCAGCACTTTGCATCTGGTGCTCCCTAGCCCTGCGTAGACATTAGCAAACAGTTCTTCACCCAGCTTCCCTCAGTTGTTTTTTAAGTGCTGTGCCATCTGTCTCCAGCTGGAATACTGACCCCCAGACTCTCTGAACCTGGCTGGAGGAATTCCCCAAATTTCATTCAGTTCGCATTCTAGTGAAAAGGTTTTGAGCAAGCACTTTGTAACGCTTCAACAATCAATACCAATTCCAGCACGTTCCGCACGCCTGGTATGCGAGAGGGGCTGCACTGACTGTTGGTGTGATGTAATGACAAAAGCATCCCTTTTGTAACTATTTTAAAAGCCTTGCTTGCCTGGAAACCGGGGTCCCTTATGGGAAGCACGTCACCTGAGATCACAGCATGGGTGATTAAAGGAAGAAGACTTAGTCCCAGACGGATCTCATGCTAGACGATTTAAATATTCATTCTATTGTGGTTATTTGTTATTTCAGTTTGGGACAGGATTTTGTTGGGCAATTCAAGCTGGCCTCCAACTCACAATCCCCCTGCCTCAGCCTCCCCAGTGCTGGGATTACAGGCATGCACCACCACACTTGACTTTGAATATCTATGTTTTATGGCCTCTTAGGAACAGCCATAATCACAGGGGTATTCACGAGAATAAAGAGCTGCTATACGAGGCTTGAGACAAGCAGGGTCTAGGCATTGGGGAGAAGAACAGCAGCTCCAGCCAAGAGGTTAGGGTGGCTGGGCTGGGAGGGTAGCAGTGGGGGTGGTAGGAAAAGGCTGATTTACATTTGCTTTTAAGATGGAGTCGACAGGGGACCCCACTGCTCTATGGAATGGACAGAATGGCTATGGTAAGGCTGAGAAGTCAATCCCTGCCTTGTAGCCACAAGCTCCTTACCCAAGGAAAACACAAACCACATCCATATATATAGCTCAGTGCTCACTTCCCCAACCCATCAATATCCGCCTTGCATAAGAGACAAACACAGTTTCATGAATAATCATGACGCTCCAGCCTCCCCTGCATCCTCTTCTGATTCAAACCCTGTCTCCCTGAAGGGCTTTGGGGAAGATAATTTTTTCAATGCTCCCCTACCCCCCCACCCCCGGAGCATTGTGATATATAGTAGTGAAGTCGATTCTCCTGGAGACAGGCTGGCCTGGGGGACAGGGACAAGGAGGTGAGGACACACAGAGGGGACATCAGCAGAAGATGGAGGCTGTAGATCAGCAGAAGTAGAAAGCAATGAAGATGACAGCTTGGAGCCAAGGTAGCTGTAGGGGCTTATGGGACAGGAAGACTTGAGCAACAGACAGCACAAGAGTGGGCTGGGTGGACAGAGCCTGTATCGGATGAGGCAGGAGACCTGCTCAGAGCCAAGCAGGTGGCTTTGGAACTTTCCCCAGGGGAAGCTAGAGCCCCTTCCTTCGTTTCTGTCTTGGCAAAGCAAAGCAGGAAAGAAAACTTGTATCATGTGGATAGCTCACAAAATCACTCATCTGAAATGATGCACTTGAAATATACATTTTGATAGAACTATGGAATATACAAGATAACAAAATACTCTCTTCATAGTCCTTCTCTGTCAGAAAACTTCATAAACGTATATTTCTTTTTTTTTTTTTTTCTATCCCGTAACCTCCATTGCCCACCCCTCATCCCCAGTTTACTCATGGAGATCTCATCTATTTCCCCTTCCCAGGGCAACCCATGGGTCCCTCTTTGGGTCTTCCTTGTTAGTTAGCTTCTCTGGAGTTGTGAGGACGTATATTTCTTTCCAGCCCATGTCCTATGTACAAATGAAAGGCCAAAATCAATTTTATTTATTTTTAATTGAATTTAGATGAAGTCAAACTAAGTCAGAACAGGTCGCCAGACTTTTTCTCTAAAGTGAAAACTCTACATCAGTATTGCACATGGCTCAGTCAGCAAAGTGCTTGAGGACCTGAGTTTGGTCCCCCAGAACCCACCGACAAAGCTGAGACAGGAGGATTCCTGGGCCAGGCTGGCCAGCTGGACTAGCCGAACCCCTGAGCTCCAGGATCAGTGAGTGACTTTATTTTAAAAATAAGTCGGAGAGAGACTGAGGAACACACTTTTCCTCAACTTTCTCTCCCACGCATACATGCATCTGTGCACACCACACACAGATCCACAATTCAAAGCCAATAATGTTCACATAATGCTTGTTGCACACTAGGCCCCGTTTTGTACAGATGGTTGCTTTTAATTCACACAACTCATGAGCTCCAACCTAAATCACTATTAATATCTCCATTTTGCAGGTGGAGGGCTGGCCATCACCTAAGCATGGAAGAGGGAGGTTAAGCTCAAAGGTCATGTAGCTAAGGATGCTGAGACACTGACAGCACCACTCAGATACTGTGAGTTGACAGTAGCCAATAAACATAAAAGAGGTTGGGATCTACTGCATCTCATTTAAATGACGCAGAGAATAGGGGGGATCCTAGTTATTGTGACTGTCGCTCTGCTTTCAGACAGGTTCGGTCACCCTTGGGTTTCATGATGTCCCTTAAGCAGAGCAGTTCAGTTCAAGGGTGCTGGGGACACCGGCGGCATCTGTTTTAGTGCAGCCTACAAGGTGTTCACAACCACACGAGTCTCACTTGGAAAGGATGTTCTACGTTTAGGGAACCAAAGCCCTCAACTTCAGACCGCATCCAGGATGGAGTTCAGATTATATAGCGAATTTGCATTAGATTGTTGGAGGTAGCAAACACATCAACGAAATGGTATGACACTTCCTTTTTTCCCTAATATTTGTGAGCATTTACTCTGGCCCAGGCCTTGGGCTCTGAACGTTCCATGGATGGCTTACGGAGCATCTCTGCCCTATAGAAGAGGAAGTAGAGGTGTGCAGACGCGCTCAAAGCTACAGGGCTGGTAAAGGAAGGAGGTGGGCGGAGGCTGGTGCTCTGGACCATTCCCCTCACTTCTTAGGCAATGCGCCTGTCCTGTCACCAGCAGGCTGTGTAACTGCACACACTGCTGAGCCTCTGTGGGTTTTCATTTCCCTCTTCTTAAGAGGTTGGATTAGAAGTTCTGCTCCTCCAAGGAGCTGGCCCTCGGCACTCCCCATCCACACTGCCCCTCCACTTTATCTCACCAGGAGGCTCAAAGCGATGCAGCCCGTTCCTGGTCACTCAGGGGATCTGTAAGTACTACGTACGATTCCTGATTCTGCAGGGAGCTTACAGTCTAGTTGGGGACATGACTGGTGGCACATGAAAGTGAATAATTAATTCTCCAAGTGTGATTCAGGGCCAGACTGAGAAAGCAGCTGAATGGGTTTTGCTTAGTGGAAAATGGATCATCTTAAAATGTTTCCTGAAAACCACTTCTCTGTTAGGCAAGGGCTAGACAAGCTGGTTGGTGGACACATCATCACCATATGACTCCCAGTTCAGTCCCATTTTGCCTAACGCTGAGCCAGGGAGCTGTGGGCAGCTGGCGGATATGCAACATATCAACAAAACCATGAACACTTAGAGGGCATGTTAGCTTTTCCTCCACACAATCTATGTGTTGCAACATCTGTCCCACACGGATATGCATGAGAAGGCCAGAGTTGAGGAAGCAGCACTCGGGGGCAGTGGTGAGTTGGATTGTGTCGAGTCACTGAGAGAACCCAGCCCTGGAGAGACTGTGCAGGCTGAAGCTGAGGTTTCCAATGGCAGGGGACCGATGAGCTGTGAGCAGAATCTGTTTGCTCTTGACAGCGGAGCAAACTGCACAGCAGCGAGCCCCCTAAAGTGTGGAGCTTCGCTTCACTAAGTGAGCAGAAGAGCGAGTCTTTGCTTGGTTTTGATTCACCACTGTGGAGTCTCAGAGCCTATGGCAAGGTGGATATCTGCTTTTCCATTCTGTCTTGTCCTCTGTTGGGAAAACTTCCCTAGGGCTTTGCGCTGGCCCTGTAGTTCATTCTAACATTGCAAGATCAATAGCATTACAAGGTTTCGGTGTTCTGTAGTTGGCAATGGAGTCTCAGATCCAGAGGCCCAGGTAAGAACTGGCTCATAAGCTCTGGAGCCATGTGTGTGGCTGCCTTCTGGGCTCTTTGTTCACCATTGTAGATGGAAGTTTTCCTGTGTCATGTCCCCCACCCCCTCGGTCCTGCAGCCGCTGGGTCCCAAGTAAACACACAGAGGCACAGAAGCCTTTATTAATGACAAACTGTATGGCCTATGGCTCAGGATTCTTGCTAGGTAGCTCTTTCATCTTAAATTAACCCATTTCTATTTATCTATATGTTGCCACATGGCCATGGTTGCTGGCATCTTGTTGCTCCTTGGGCAGTGGGCTGGCATCCCTCCTCACTCCAGCCTTCTTCGTCTCTGTCTCCAGTTTGAATGTACCGTCTACCCTTATTCTGCTTCTCCACTGACCAAACAGCTTTATTTATCAACCAATGAGAGCAACACATATTCACAGCATACAGAAAAGACATCCCACAGCAGTTCATAGTTCCACCAGTCCCTGCTTCTCTCCAGAATTCCCCCAAACCTGCCTTCTGCACCCCTTATTCGGTGAATGGTTGCCACTAATGCCATTCCAAACAGCATTTCCCTGCTCCGTAATGTCTGTCCAATGCATTGGGTCACCTTGGGACTTTGGGTCTTGGCATCATCTGCCTACGACGACATTTATATGGGTTCCTCACCTCCTGTCTTTGAACCCATTCTCCATACAGTAGCTGAGAGGCACAAACGAAATGGGGCTTCCCCTACTCTCCCTGCCAGCTGCTTTAGAGACAGCCGAATCACCTGGTCCCCATGCTGAGCCCTGCTTATCACTTCACTGGTCTCTACTGTCGTAGGACTCTGGCATTAGAATTCAAGAGATCAGAAAAAAAAAAAAAAGAAGAGCTGAATTTGTTAAAATGAAAAGCACCACCATTCCCACTCTCCATTCAGAACCCTCCAACAGAATCCTGATACTAATGATCCTGACACCAATTAATCTACTCAAAATCAGTGACAACAAACGAAAAAAGAGCTGACCCAAGATAAGCCCAGAAGATAAGCAATGAAAAGAAGATGCAGGCTTTTCTGTTTCCCCTGGCTAGGGCCAACCACTCCTCTATTGTTCCCTCAGTATTTTTGCAGTCTACGGTTATCTGTTTATTTCTTCGGTGTATCTTTTCCTCTGCACACTGACATCTGGAGTTTCTGGGGCATGCATCTGCCCGTATCTTCTATGCAGTACACAACTTCTATGCAGTGCATACAGCTGAGGAGAGTCTCATTATGAAGATGCAATTGTAGTTCGTAAATCACAATATCTCTCTCTCTTTTTATTAGAAGCACCCGTTTCATTAAGATGGCCTGTTCTGAAAATATTCCTGTATGTTACAAAGTATGAATGCCCTTACTAAATGATTTGTTCATAGAAACCATTATGGAAAAGATCAATTCCCAAGAGTAAACCTGGCCAGAGGCAATACCGTATAACCTAGCAAAGAAACAATACACGTCTATTAGGACGTGGCAGAGGCTCAATCGCCCGTGTGAAATGCAGAGACAGCTGTTGCAGGAAGTCAGGAATGGTACTCAAATATACTCCTGTGGGAATGTCAACCTGTTAGAACCTTTCTAGGAGGAAATCAAGTAATTCAAACTGTAGAATTTTCTACACTTTAACCCAGTCTTTTCCAGGACCTGTGCTTCAGGAATAATCAGATAAGAACACTAAGTTTATCAGAAAGACTAGTAAGTGAAATACTGTTAGCAATAGTCCAAATGCAGATGCATCAAACTCTCATCAGTGGTGGTTTGGCTAGACAACTCAGTGGAGTACAGTGCAGTACAGAAGCAGAGTTCTGTGTTTTTACAAAGAAGGCGTCCGTAACGTATTAAGTGAACAGGCAGGTTGTAAAACCTTTTACGCACCTACCTACCCACCCTCCTTTCTTTTCGCTCTTCTTCCAAGAGCAAAGTAAAAGATCATGTATCAAACCGCGAATGTCAATTATCACAGAATAAAGCTAACTTATTACTAACTCCACATTTTATTTTATATCAGATCTTCAAGATTCTGTAACGAACAGGTATGACAGTCATAACA